CTGGCAAAGTTTGTATCTTCCCACTCAGCACATAACTTCCCATGCAACTACAGTCCCAAGCAGAAGGTTGGCAACTGCTTTGTTCAGACTACATGTGGAGGCAGGGATGCCCTTGGCTGCTTTCTGAAAATCTAGCCCAAGTCCTCTTCCTCCTGGGAGGCCCTTTCCCCATTACCTCAGAGGATCCAAATCCCTGACTGTTGCCCTTGCATCTAGACTCATTTTGAAATCCAGAGATCTTTGGCTCCAGTATATTAATTGGGGGTGTAGACTCTAGTTTTTGAGAATATCATTCAGCTCAAGTTGTGTATTAGTCAGAACTTTTGTTGCTGTAACAAAATACCTGACATTAACAACTGAATGGAAACAGGGCACTGCTGGTTCACACGGGTAATCTGAGCTACTTAGGAGACTAAGATCTGAGAATTGTGGTTTGAAACCACCAAAGACAGGAAATTCTATATGACTCATCTCTAGTTACTCACCAGAAATCCAGAGTGCTCAAGTGGTAGAGTGCTATCCTTGAGCAAAAAAGTTCAGGGACAATATCCTGGCCGTGGTTCAAGTTCCAGGACTGGCACGTGCGTGCACACACACACACACACACACACACACACACACACACACACACACCAACAACTCCAAAACCAGTCAGTGTTGATGGCTCATGCCTGCAGTCCTACTCAGGAGGCTGAGATCTGAGGATCGTGGGCAGGAAAGTCTGTGAGAGTCTTATCTCCAATAAACTACTCAGAAAAAGCTGGAAGTGGCACTGTGGTTCAAGTGGTAGAGCAGTAGCCTTGAAAAAAAGAATCTCAGGGGCTGTGTTTTAATGGTAGAGTGCTTGCCTTGCATGCATGAAGACCTGGGTTTGATTCCTCAGTAACACATACACAGAAAAAACCAAAAAGTGTGCTGTGGTTCAAGTGGTAGAGTGTTAGCCTTGAGCAAAAAAGAAGCTCAGGGACAGTGAGCCCATCATATGTTTACAGTAGGAATAGATGTAGACACCCGAGCCTACTTCACATCTGCTACTATAATTATTGCCATTCCAACAGGAGTAAAAGTATTTAGCTGACTAGCTACTCTGCACGGAGGAAACATCAAATGATCACCAGCTATATTATGAGCACTAGGATTTATTTTCCTATTTACAGTAGGAGGATTAACTGGAATTGTCCTGTCAAACTCATCCCTAGACATTGTACTTCACGATACATACTATGTAGTAGCCCGTTTCTACTATGTTCTTTCTATGGGAGCAGTATTTGCTATCATAGGAGGCTTAGTGCCCAGGCCCAGAGTTCAAGACCCAGGACTGGCAAAAAAAAAAAGAGTCCCAGGGAAACTGTTTCTGGACCCTGAGTTTAATCCCCAGGACCTACACACACACACACACACACACACACACACACACACACACTTATTGGAGGATTGGTTTATTTGGCCCCTTTCCGTTTCAGAATTTTCAATCCTGACTCCTTGTCTCCATGATTCTGGGTCCACAGTGAAACAGAACATCATTGAAGCAGAAGTATGTGGCAGAGGCTGCTTACTTCATGATGGATGGGAAGCAGAATGAGAGAAGGGATTGGGAAGTAGGTATAACCTTCAAAGGCACATCCCCACTGGCCTGCTTCCTCTAATGAGGCCCTTAGCTCCTATAGTTTTCACCATCACCAAAAATAGCACCAACAGCTGGGGACCAGGCCTTCAGTACAGGAATCTATGTTTTGAATTCCAGATTCAAACCCTAATATTCCACTTCCAAAGGCTCACGGTCATCTTCTAATGAAAAATGCATTTAGTCCATCTCAAAAGTCCTCAAACCCTTGCTCCCATATTGTTGAGAAATACAAGCTCAAAGTCTCCTTTGAGACACAAGACAAACTCTTACCTGTGAGCTCTAATAAAGTAGAGAAAATTTCATACTTCCAAGACACACCAAGTCAGAGTTAACATTCCTGTTTCAAAAGGGAGGCATAAGAGAATAGCAAGGAAGGACTGGACTAAAGCAAGATTGAAACCTAGTTGGGCAAACACTAAACCCTGTAGATCTTTGTCCAATATCTAGGCAGGTAAGTCTCATGACATGATTTTCAAGGACCTGAGCTCACCACAGTGGCTTTGCAATTTATAGGCTTCATGGCTTGTCTCAAGATTGTAACACTGGTTGCCTGCTACTTTCCTCAGGCAGGCTTTCTACATTTCTGGCATCTCTGATATCCTGGAGTCTCCACTGCAGCTGAGGCTTCATCCATTGCCCTGGAAAGAGTTATCTTCAGTCACTGAAGAGGCAATCCACAGAACAGTCTAGTTATGGCATTTTAGGATAATAATTTTGATCCTCAACATTATATGGGTGCCATTATGTTCTTGTTACAATTAGCAACACATGGATACAAAACCAGCTTTATTCAGTTATTTCCTAGGTGTTTTGTGTGTTTCGTTTTGCTTTTTTTTTTTTTGTGTCATGGGGCTTAAACTCTGGGCCTGGGCGCTGTCCCTCAGCTCTTCAGCTCAAGGCGAGCGCTCTACCACTTGAGCTACAGCGCCACTTCCGATTTTCTGGTGGTTTATTGGAGATAGGAGTCTCACAGTCTCTCCTGCTGGGGCTGGCTTTGAACTGCGATCCTCAGATCTCAGCCTCCTGAGTAGCTAGGATTACAGGCGTGAGCCACCAGCGCCCGGCTTGTTTTTGTTTTGTGCTGGGTGGGGACTTGAATTCAGATCCTGGGCACTGTCCCTAAACTCTTTTGCTCAAGGCTAGTGCTCTACTACTTGAAGCATAGCTCCACTTCCAGCTTTTTGGTGGTTAATCAGAGGTAAGAGTCTTGTGAATTTTCTTGTCCAGGATTTTCTTGAACTGGATCCTCACATCTCAACCTCCTGAGAAGCCAGGATTACAGGTGTGAGCCACTGATGCCTAGCAGCACCTATATTTTTAGCCCTGCAAATTCTTATACAACATTTAAATAAAGTTCAAACATATAGGTCTATATACTTCTAGTTACCGACATATAGAATGTTGTGTTAGAATTACTTAAACCACAATTATTGTAATTGTAGTTGGTTTAACCACAGTCATAAAGTGGTCATTTAACACTTTTATATGAATAGATACTTGAATGAACTGATTTAGTTTCTAAGTAGCCAAAAGCTTTACAGATCTTTAGAAAGCACAAGCAATGATCTGTGTGTGTGTGTGTGTGTGTGTGTGTGTGTGTGTGTGTGTGTGTGTTCTGGTACTGGGGCTTGAACTCAGGGCCTGGGTACTCTCTCTTAGTTTTAGGTTTTTTGGTCAAGGCAGCTTTTTGCAGGTTAGCTGGAAACAAGAGTCTTGCAGATTTGTTTATCCTGGCTGACTTCAAACTGGGATTCTGAGATCTCAGGCTCCTAACTAGCTAGGATTACAGGTATGAGCACTGGTACTTGGCAGAAATGTAATTTTTATATTAATCTCAGATTTTGTATGTCTAGTTGGTGTATGGAAAGTATTAAGCTGGTGTTAGAGTCAACATTTTCCCACGTTTTAACTAACTATTCTACTTTCATATGTTGTCTTTTTGTCTTTTTTCAACTTGCATGTGTGTGTGTGTGTGTGTGTGTGCTTACACAGGTACATGCATCTGCCTTTTTTCAGTGTTTGTTTTTAGGGTACAGACTGGCACCTAGGAAAGTTCTTGTTATGGAATTAGGGACATGTGTGGGGATGTCTGCCTCACAAAAAGTTTTGAGTCTCCTCCTGTCTTTCATGACATGGATCTCTTGTGAGAAGTGACCTCCAACACAACCACAGTACTTGGTCAAACTATAACATGTACTTGATGAAAATCACTGATTTCCTACGTGGACCACAGAATAACTAAAAGCATCCCAGCCCGCTCTGTTTTGCATTTATGTCTTTTGCCCTGAGCCATTCTTTAGTTACTTTACAGCCATTTTGGATGATAGGAAGGAGAGGAAGACCAAACCACCTGCTAAGTGTCAAAGATGCTTATTAAAAGGCCCATCTGGCCAACTTGAGGCTGTGGACTCTCAGACCACCGGCTGATGCCACCTCTGACACACCTGTGACTGGCCTGTTTCTATTTTCTCTCCCTGCCTCCAGTTCTTCCTCTATTAAGACTGCTAATTCTTGTACCCTGAAGATGGCTGAAGATGAACTGGCATTGCCTTTTGCCTCTTGTCTTGTTTGCTCTCAAGAAGTGAGGACAATAGCTATGCACCGAAGATACACATCAGCTGCCTTTCAGTAATATAACAATTCGAAATAACATTCCAACAACAAGTAGTAACTGCTCCCACATCAAGCCGGCATCTGCGCTCACAGCAGACAAGACTAGAACCATGGGACTGGCTCACTGCCACTAGAGGGAGGCTGGCAGGAGAGGCAGCTAGCCTCTAAGGCTAGCTAGAGAGCTAGCAGGAAAGGTTCCTTAAAACTAGAGGAGTTCAAAGCTTGGAGCCCAGGAGGAACCGGGCTCTGATTTGAGCATCCTCAGCTGGAGTTTTCATGGCTGGTTTTCAGGGCCTTATCCAAGCCATTTTAGGGTTAGCTTACTAGCTTAGCAAAGCCACTTCCTTAGCCACCTTCGCATGTCAAAGTCACCTCTTCAGCATCTTAAGGTTGGGAGGGGGGAGTGTATGGACCCTGCCCTCCATCATCAGGTCACCTGGTCACTAGGCCCTCTGACCACAGGTGGAGTCAGCAAGTCCTTCCGACTGGCTGCTGGTGAGCTTGCCTGACCTGCACCACACTCCTGACCCCCAGCTCTGTGGCTGTGAGCAGTTGAACCTCCTTTCTCAGTCCTTAACGGCGTCTGTTCATTTGGCATGTAGGAGGCATAGATGGACCTGACAGGTGGAAGCCCAAGAATTGGGGGCCTAGAAAAAGTCTTGGTTTCAACAACTTCTCAAAATGTACCCCCGCTGTGTGATGCGTTTGATTCTTGTCATCCACACCCTGCCCTTTCCCCCCCATCCTCAAATTAGGCAGAATGAACTTGGTGGCGGTTCACTTCTGCAGGGACTTTCGGCCGACGCTCCCGCTCGCGACGCATCACCGAAGACACCGAGAGGCGTCTGCAGTCTCCACTCGCACGATCCACAGGGTTGAGGGGTGGGCAGAGCGCGCCCACCGGGCCAACACGCGCACGCGCGCGCACGCGCGCACACACACACACACACGCACGCACAGATTCGGGACACCACAATCCCGGTCCCTCCCGGGCGACTCTCACTTTTCGGCCCCGCCCACCGCCAGCCTCGGCGTCACGTGGTCTGGGGGAGGGACGTGGGTGGTCTGGCGGCCGCCATCTTGGGGGCGGGGCGCGCGAGGCGCTGGGCGCGCGCTTCAGCTTCGCTCCTTTTGCTCCTCTCGGAGAGGCTCCCTCGCCTGTTCCCAGAGTAGAGCAGTGGAGAGCCCGGGCGAGCGCGCTCCGGGTGTGTGTGTGTGTGTGTGAGTGTGTGTCGAGCG